CAGTCTACCTGCAAGACCAGGCCGGCTTAGTCTATGATGTTCTTCCGGACACACTCGAAACCATCGAGTGGCTGGCTGTTCGACCATTCCTGCGGGACGATGCTGCAACTGCCTCTACAGGGACGACAGCTACTACAACTGGGGTTGCTACGAGCACAACTAGGGTGTTGTTAGCTTTGGTGGCGGGCACCCAGACGCTCCGCACTCTCCCTGTTGAAATTGATGCCCTGGATTCCACCGTTGCCCTAACCAGGCTTATCAGTGCCGTGGCCCGTAGCCGAGCTCTCCCTAATTTGGGTTTTGTGCAACAACTTGCCGCCTATCCTGCACTGGGCCCTGATGGAGTGCTCTCAGTCCCCTTTGTCCTTGCTTCCGGGCGGCCTGGGTTCGTTGCCATCGTGATTGATATCACCACTCAGGGCCAGGGCCTGTATTCGGTTGAAGTACCTGACAGCACCTGGGCTGAGGAGCTTCTTAAGCCCAACCAAGTGGCACGGGGCCTGACTTACTTGGTCAATGGGGTTCCCCTGCAAGGACTTCGACGAGCGCTCCGGCCTGGAGACTATCTTCAGTTGGTCCCCAATACGTGTCGAGGTTCCCTGACCATTTCGCCGGCGACCGTCTGGATGCGGCGGATCAGACAGTTGCGTTTATGGGCTCTCCCTTTGGCCTTTCCGCCTCTTACGCACGGTCATGGTGGTATGGCGGCTGATCTGGCCGAGCATGCGGCACGTGCCTTTTTGCGATACTACCAGGAGGTAGAGGCAGGGCGGCTTCTTACCTTCGGAACTTTCGGCCCTGGCAAAGTTGCGATCTGGGTCCTCTGTGCCTGGCATCCTCCTTTGCTCTTTGCAGTTTCCTGCCCAGTGTCGCCTACTCTCCAGGAGTCTGAGCCAGCTTTGCGCTCTTCGGGGGCCATAGCGGAGGGGGCTATTCTAGTAGCCGGTGAACGCCCTATAAGCCTTGTCGACTCCGTTGTGGTTCAGGTTGATGCCGCAGATTCATACCGCACCCTGCTGCTTCCTGTCCCTGGGGACCCTGAATTCTTTATTCCTACGGCAATCAATCCGAATGTCCCCATCGAGCCTGCACTTCATATCCTCCCGCGCCTGCCTTACACAGCCGTGTATCCGCCTATGGAGGTGAAGGATGGTGCTGTTTTCCGCGTGAGGGTTCCGGCCGGTGCTGTCTCGGACCGGGCAAGAGTCAGGCCGCGGCCGGAATCTTCTGGAAGCGCCGCTAGCAGTCTCAGCCTGCTCCAAGTTGATGTCCAACGGCGACGGGCTAGTGTTCAGCCCCTGTCTGTCCCGACGCCCCTTGGCAGGAGGCACTTTTGTGACGTAAGCAGCATATCGGCGCAGGTAGATGAGCCGCAGAACCTGGTTGTGACCCAATGTGCCGCTTGTGCGCCACAGAGCCCTGCCATCTACCCCACTGAGGGCCCCCGGGCGCTTTGCCTTCCTGGAGAAGCGGATGTAGGTTTTTTTTTCCGACATTGTTCCGAAATTCAGTCAACGTCAGTATTTTGCGAAAAAAACCAACAATGTCAGTTTTTTGCTGGTTGCTGAGTTCATGTTAAAGTACTGTGTTTGGCGCAAAATTGAAGAAAACCCAGTACTTGACAAACCACGTGCATTTAAAGCTTAAATCCCGTGCAAATATTCCAAGTTTTGAATGATTCGTGGGCGTTGAGATTTAACATTTCCGGTTTAGCAGCTGCGAAGTGTTGAATTTCTGGACAACATGCATGACGTGGCATGACACTTCCAACAAAACATATGTCTCAGCATGGAACGCTGACTCAGAGTGCAGGCAGAGTGCTCCCAAACTTGCAATCCCTTCGGAACTCAGCAAAGGAAGTTGCGCGACTGACCAACTCTTTTCACACCACCCGTCGGAGCCACTCACGAGCGGCGGTCGCGAGGAACCGCTTCAAAGCAGTGATGCCAGCTGTGGCAGCATGGCATCCAGCAGCCTTGGCCCAAAGACTTTGTACCAGCCCACGGTTTAGAATTTAGGGGTTTAGGGTCTAGGAAAGCACATCTTAAGTGCAAATCTAGTGTCCACAGCACACATGATCCGCACGAAATCCTCGTCCGCAAAGCATGCGTTCAGTTGAGGATTGACTCTGCAGCGCCTGCAGTTGTACCAGAGGTGCAACCACACGTGGAGCCTCAGAAGTCACAGACATACAAAATTTAGAATGCAGTGATTGCATCGTCGAACAGAGACTGAAATTTCAGACACCTCTGCAAATTGGAGTGCGGCAGTCATGCGACCAAGGAGCTTTGGCCGAAGTTTGTACAGTTTCTTGCCATCGCAGTAGCTTGAAAAGGCTAGCCAGCTGTATCCCAGAATGAAACGCTTGCAAGCCCGCAGGCCACGAACAGCATTCGAAGGCGATATCTCATACACAGAAGCATCCAGGATCTCGATATTCACTGCCAAAGCACGAGCCGTCCTGGAAGACTGCAGAATCTGCGCCCGTGTCATCTCCCCCAACTGTCTGAAGTCTGAAAACAATAGCTGCGCACCCTAAACCCTGAACCCTCAGATAACTGTTATAAAAAAAGGAAATTAAATATTTGTCTTAAAAAGAAATGGCATTCTACAGGCGGATGCCAAGGCACATAGACATCACGTACGCATGTTCTTGTCGCCGCGCAGCAGCTATGGACCGAGCAAAGGCAGGTGTGATTTCTGCCTTAACACTCAACTCAATCTTCATCGTGACACAGATGCGCAGGAATCTGCACACACACACACACAAAAGCCCATGAACGCATGGCTGCTGCGTGCTACCAGAATGCCAACCACATGCACACGAGTTTGATGTCCCAGCCTTTGGCATTCAAACTTGGATAATCCTCACTGAATGAGAATTCGTCCATCGAAAGCGAATGGCCATTGGCTCTTGCCCAGCTGTGCAACATTTCTGTGGCTCGCAAGAGCTGGTTGCCCTGCTTTCCGAACATGTCGACAACCATGCTGCCGCAGAGGTCCGCAGCAAAGCCCCTGTATGCCACGTGCAAAGAATCGTCCCATATCAGGCGGTTGCTGAACCCTGGCAAGCGGATGATCGGCGACGGGAAATCCAAGTTTCCCATGGTCGCCATGAACTCCTCGATTGCAAAACACCGTCCGGTTCGCGCAGAAAGCAATGACACATCTAAGCCACTATTAATATCTTTTGTGTGCCCTGCCCACGATGCTTGGTTCATGAGGTCCTGCAAGCTTTCCTCCGAACCATGCCAGCCTGAGTCGTCAAAATCGTTGAGGTAGTGGGTCGACCCATATCTCAGAAACGTTCTGCCATCGTTCGGGTCGCTCGTACTTGCAAGCCTGAGATATATATTGCGAGACAGAAAAACAGTGAAATGTTTCTAGTCAATTGACATCACGACCTTGGTACAGTAGCACATATATGTAGTTGCAACGAAGAGGCTTGCAAATATGGCACATCCTGCAAGATCGTTGTTCTGTCACAACGGTCATGACTTTGCAACATATGACCAATTAACAGAGCCGTCCTGTTGCCTCGGGCAACACCGTTGCCTTTCCAATGGCGGGGACTCAGTTTGCGCACGGTCGTCGCAAGAAACAAAGTACTATTGCATCACAATATATTTAAGTTCAAGTGGCAACTTGAACACGTGGGCCAGCCATTTAAGGTCGCCCTTCATCCCAAAGAAATGGACTCGTCGTTCTTGCCCATCGATCTTCACCGTCCTCCATTCAATTGGGGCTTGGTCGGGCCAAGCCTACAAAAAGCCCAACTCTTTCGAAACAGAATAAATACAAAAAACACGGTTTAAGTTTCAAAGCTGGGGCACAGCCCTTCCAAATCTTTGGCAATGATATCCATGATCGTATCCACCGTGGATAATATCCGCAGCTTCCGCTGTAACGGAAGAGACACCAACAAATGACCGGGGATCGCACCTCATTCATATATATATATATATACACACACACATACACACAGTAATATACACATATACATATGCACACATACAAAAATTACGGATCCATACAAATATGAGTTCTCCCATTAACTCGTGCTGACTGAAACTGCGGAGAATCTCCACACGAGGGCACCACCAGTCAGAAGCTGTACGATTGCAAGCCAAGACACAGAGCGGCAGACGAGTCATGATCGTGTCCTCATATATGTGTGGAGCAAGTCAAGCTGCGCCAGCGCAAAAAGAAGGAAGAATGTCCCCTTGAAGTGCAACGAAGCATCTCCGTGGTTGTGTGGAAAACTCAAAGACATCACCAACAGGTTCCTGTTCTTGAAGTAAGGCCCCTCGTCGCCATGGATGCGTAGAAACACATCCTCAGGTCCTGCTTGACCCAGCACATGCACATCGATTGCAGAAACTATCTCATTGGTTGTCGCATTCAATTAGTTGCTTGCCCCACCTGCGGCGGAGAGAACCTCCCGCAACGAAGGTGATTCCTGAATCAGATCCACAAGCCTCAGAGCAGTTGCACAGATGGTCTGGGAAGGCCAGGCCAATGAAACTATAGCAGAGCCGCAGCTGTCGATCTGAAGGAGAGCTGCGGCCATACACCATGTGCCGTAACAGTTTCGGCCGCGTCTCAAGCCATCGGAACCAGGCGCTGGGGAGAACGAAGCCTGGGCACGTGAGAGCGCAGCAATCCACATCAGCCGGGTTATCCTGTGGAACTTGTGTCTTGCACAAGCACACAGTAATGACGCTGCACCCTTCTGCGTGACCATAACTCCCTGATTGCAGATGAGGCGCTGAAATCCCTGCTGACACTGCGTTTCTTCACAATGATCGGGAGCTTCAGTTTTGTCACGTGAGGCAGCTCAGCTCGGAGCTTGCTGTGGAAAACGCGTTCATCCTTGATCGAAGCCAAAAGCCTTGTCTGATAATTCATCGATCCTTCGGCAACAGCAGCTGAGCACACCTCGTTGCACATGAACCTCACGTCAGCGCCTTTCTTCCTCAATGACTTCAGCATGACATCGGCCATCGGTGTCGACAGCATGTGATCCAATGAAGAATAACCCTCGTCCAGCTTGGTCAGCTCTGACGGCAGCTGTGTCTCTGACCAATCGCATACTTCATCACAGGATCGCTTCAGTCGTTTATTTTTCAGAAAAGCCAGGGCACTCTTCCCCAGTCGAGGTACTCGAGGCTGCGAAGAGGAACATGGCTCATGCCTTGGCTGCAGCTCTGAGGTCAGGATTCTGACTCACAGCACTGCAAAACACGTGAGTGTGAAAAAATCTTGCAAAACACGTGAGTGTGAAAAAATTTGCTCTGCAAAACACGTGAAGGTGAAAAAATCTTGCACTGCAACAGACCGGAGCGACCGAGCACTGCAAAACACGTGAGCGTGAAAAAATCTTGCACTGCAAAACACCTGAGTGTGAAAAAATCTTGCACTGCAAAATCGTTCACTGCAAAACACCCGACTGTGGAAACATCTTAGGTTCCAAAATCTTGCGCTGCAAAAGACGTGAGCATGAAAAAATCTTGCACTGCAAAAGACCGGAGCGACCGAACACTGCAAAACACGTGAGCGTGAAAAAATCTTGCGCCGCAAAACACCTCAGCGTGAAACCATGCAATTTGCAGACAAAGACGCCTCTCTGAACCATCTTCACTCGGAGCAGTAGCACCTGCGTAGGGGCAAGCACGAAAAACAACTCGACGCAGAACGACATGTGAGTGGGCACAAAGTTTGACATGACTGCCGAAGCCACTGCAACTGACAACTGAAACCTTTTCTTCTCAAAGCAGCAGCCACTCGAGCGGCACAGAACTGGAACAGAGGCCGATGGCTCCCCAGAAAACTACAATCATCAAGATCGGTGCATCATGATGCACCAGCAAGCATCGTTGCTGGTTGCAACCCCCCGCGCCCTCCAGAGCTATAAAAGCATAGCTCAGGCCACGCCCTCGTTTTCCTGCTTCTTCACAGATCGGCAGCAGCCCTGGGCAAACTCCTGGCGAGGATTGAGGTTTCGGGCTTAGGGGCTGGTTTAGGGTCTAGGGTTTAGGGAGTTGCTCACTTGCAGAAACACACGAAACGAACTGCGGCGCTCCTCCTTGGATACATAGTTGAAGTAGGCACGTGTGATGTCCTGGGCATGCGCGGTCCGCTCGCATGACATATAGATTTCTGTGACAGAAATCTATATGTCATGTGAATGGACCGTAGAATGAATGTGTCCTTCATCGCCTCCACCCAAACCTCCTCAGAGTGGGAGTCATCGATCTTCTTCAGGTCCTTCAGCAGAAGCAAGGCATGAAAGGGACAACTTAAGTCATGTTGTGCCAAAATGCAATCAGGCTGCAACCCATAGTGAATCCATGCTGGCTTTCGCCTCGCACAAGTCGGCCATGGCCTTGGCGGAAGCATCGTGGCCGTGGAGCATCAGGGAGATCTTGGCCATCTGGCCGGCCTCGCTGATGCATCGTCTCTAATTTCAGATGATGTGAGCATGCGAACTGCATTTTTTACTGCAAATGCAACCATAGTTCCACCAAGTTGCTTTCTGGAGCATCACGGTGCCAAGCAAGTCTTTGGTAGCCGTCCGGTCGACCAGTGGGAAGGCTTGGTTAAGGCTGGACGCCTTAGCCTTGCGCACGTCGAAGACTGCCTTGGGATTCTCGGCCTTCTTCTTAGCACCCGCCTTTGCCTTTGCCTTGCCCTTAGGCGCAGCCTGGGCATCGGTCGTCTGGGTGCCTGCAAATCATCGACAATATCAGCGTTGCTCCAGCTCAAAAGCACGAGTCGCCCCTGCCGCCTCGCCTCCAGGGGTCTGGCCCTGCTGAGCAGCCTCAGTCTGAACTGGAGCTGGCGTCGAGGGAGCTGGCGTCGAGTGTTCTGTTGGCGTCGGTGTCGCTGCAGCAGGCGTCGCGGAGCTCGTGGACTGCAAAGGAAGGTAGGCCTGGCCGGTCCTCAGAGTATATACTAAAGAATTGGCACGAGACGAAAGTAGTTGTCAATTAAGAGCTCCATGGCTTGAGGATTCCTCTGCAGCCTGGACACAACTGCTTGAGAAGCTCTTTCGCCTCAGGACGCCTGTCCGCCGCCAACGGAACAACCTTAGCACGGAGCTCCTCCAGTTTCTGGTGGGATTCCTCCAGCCTGTCCTGGACCACCAACCGGAAAAGCTTTGCCTCCGGATTCTTCTTGAGATTCGGATCTTGTTTCCACCCTGAGTGAGGCATATGGATATGCCCATAACTCCAGCGATTTCAGTCTTGCAGCAATATATGCCAAGGCACGGCCCTCCACGAGGGCCTCAGCAATCGCATCGCGGGCTTTGTCAGCATTGTTGTGGTAGAAGGCTACGACCCCCTCGGCGGTCAAGAAATCCGTCAGGTGGGTGGTCTTCCTGACAGCAGCAGTCGAGATGAAGATTTGATATCATGTTCGTGCTGGTGCCTGCTGAATTAAGAAGCATTGGCCAACAGAACTGATGCCAATCTCAGACATGCCAATTACAATCCGGGGCATGAAGAATCTGAGCAGCAGGCTCCACGTGCTGCTCGGCGAGCACGATTTCGGTAGTGACGGCCGCGACGTTCGGGTTCTCCCACCATTTTTTCAAGAGCTCTTTTCTCACCGCACCTCCCTTGAGCCAGCACTCAACCATCTCAAAGNNAACAGCGGCGGACACTTTGCGTCAGATTCGCCCATTCTTCTGCAGTTGCCTCAGCTGGCAAATTACACAGAAATGCGCTAGTGGCCGTTCCATATGCAATCACGTCTCACTCATGATCATTTGCAAGCCATGGCACCTGGTCCCAGGTGCGCTTCTCGCCACTGGCACTGCCAGCAGCAAAGCCGGAAGAAGTCTCCGAAGGGGCACGCGGGGCAGCCGCAGAAGCCGGCTCAACAGCCTGAGCAGGTGTCACCGGGGCAGCAGGGCTTTGAGTGGGACGGTCTGGCTCCAGGAAAGCGCTGGAGCGCTTCAAAGCGGAAGGTCTCTCCGACGGCGGGGCTGCAGTACTGCCGGTGCTCGCCTCGCTTTCCAGCTCAAGCTTCAGCTGCCGCACCCGAGCCTTGCGGTCCTCGAGCAACTTCAAAGTCTCCTCGCGAGCCTTTTGCTTCTCCTCCGCTAGCTTCACCGCGAAGTCCTTGCGGCGCAGCAGCTCCAACTCCGCAGCCGAGTGGACTCTCTCCTCAGCAGCGCGTGCCTGGAAGGAAGCTTCCTCACGAGCACGGCGAGCCTCGCGAGCCTCTGCCTCCAAGCGAGCCAAGCGGTCTGCCTCCTCACGAGCCTGGCGCTC